AACTGATTGCGACGTTTTTGATTCAATAAATTCCCAATATTGCAACGAAACAAAAATCATCGCAAATTAAATAGTCGCCAGAGTGCAGTTTTGGTCTAGTATATAATCTACATTGATCTACATACAATGAAACTTGATCATCGACACCCGATAGATTTTGATTGGGGTTATAAATACCAGAATGTGTTCGACTAATAAGTCATTTGCTTGCCAACCGATTTAACCAGTCACATATTGTAGAAGTATACTTATGTAAAGACATAAACAAAGCAGAGAGAAACTTGCAGACAAAGTGTACTTTTGTGTTTAGACAGTACTATGTAAAGACATTCTAAGCTCAAAATAAGACCAAAGACCAAAAAAACAAAATCAAGTTTAAATTCAATTTTCATGGTGGTGGCATTTTCGGAAGGCAAAATAACTACTTTGCACCAGGCGAAAACTTTAAAACAGGCTGACTTGCAAACCAGATAAACACGAAAAAGTCTTGAATCAAAGATGAAAAAGTCACAAATCAAAGATGAGAGACTCAGAAAAAACAAAAATCAATATTTATAGCAGCAACAGGATACTTATAGTGCTTTCGATATCAATCAAACAAGCACATACGGTATTTACCGGTTAAAATGCAACACACAACACACGTCAAGCGTCAAGCACAACACATAACCTCGTAAACAGAATCTCAGTGTCGAATTCGTGCAACAACACTTTGTTAATTATTTTAAATCGAATCTATATAGCGCAAACTAGATACTTGATATTTCATGCATTTTGCATCACAGTTGTTTTCGTATCTGTAATATCGAAAACCGAATCCAAAGAGAAATGCTACACAACTTAAGGGGTCCGATCTTACCATGCTATAGCTCACTTTCTACTGTTCGATTTTTCACTCGAAATAACATCAAAACATAACATATCTATAATGTAGAAACCTAATACCGAATAGAAACCCTAAAATTCGAAATCAGCCAAAGGTACACGCACGAGTAGGAAAAATATCGCATGAATTAAGGAAGCAAAAGGGAGAACTTAAATAAATCCAATTGCGATTATCCAATAATAAAACCCCTAGATGACATAACGAAACAAAACAGTAACTCGTCAACAAGTCCAAATGAAACTTTAAAACGGGCAGATAAATTAAAAACCAAAAATTCCAATTTCCACTATCTTAAGAATACCCCATCAAAAAAGTAGATTCAATCACCCTTCCTTCTGAAGGAGCATCCCTCCGTAAGCCTAGCGCGTCCTCCGGTGGGTTGGCAGAGCACAGTCTGGCAGTTGCCGCACACCACCACCGTCTGAGAGTGGCTGAACACGGTGGTTCTGTACACACACACACACAAACACATAATATAATCAGCAAAAAGACTGCATTTTTATTACTTCAATTACCACAAATCAGATAATTTTAGATTCAGAATACAATAAATACAAAAGGACAGAAGCTTTACATGTTGAAGCAACCCTGACACTTCACATCCTGCAATTACAAATTATACAGATATCGAATTAAATCAATTAATTGAAAAAATACAAAAATATAAGTATATTAATAATCAATTTAAAATGAAACTGCGAGAAAATTAAAAAAAAAAATACCATGAAGAAAGAGTTTGGGGATTGGACGAGGCGCTTGAGTTTGTGCTTCCTCTTCTCGAGCTCCGCCGGTGGGTTAAGGAGATCGATATCATTCGATAGCACCTGTGAACAAACATCATCAAATCAAAATCAAAATCAAAATCAAAATTTGAAATCAAAGGCGAAATCAATTCGTTTTCTTTTTCATTTATCGAAATTTCATTACCATCTTCGATGATTCTGAGAGCGGAGGCGCGTGTGTAAACTGACTGGGTAGAGAGAGAAACACACACGACGGCGAGAGAGAGAGAATGAAGAAGAGTGAGAAACTAGGGTTTTTTGGGTTTTATATATTAGCAGCTGATAGGCGTGGACCGTTGGATGTGTATTAAATCTGGACGGTGCGATTGAGCTTACGCATCACTTTTATTTTTATTTAGTTTTTTTGTCCCCCCAAACATTTGGATTTGCTGTTGATTCACATAAGTAATATATTTCTTGCATCTACGTCCGTTTTCAAAATATTCAAATGTCAAATTACGAAAATCCCCCTCATATTTGAAGATTTGATTTGGGTAAGAGATTTGAAATGACACGTTTGCTTTAGTGTATTTGAATAATTTGAAATAATACGATTAAAATTTGAATAACACGAATTGCTCGAACAATTTCAATCATCTCCTGTTTATGTGAGGAACACGTAACGATATTTATTTTGAAACCAATTACTATCTTCATTTACTTGACAATCAAACATGAAATTCTTATTAAATTTTTAAATCGGACGACTATGTAAGAAATCGTGTCGTCTACATTGCTTCAAGGCTTGTAATTTCGGGAGAGAGAAAAAAAAAACAGTATTTTGTTCGAATTCACTTACATCAAAGTACAGCAACAACACTAACAATACAATCACCATGAAATGCACCTATGGTTTTTCAACATCAAACAATTTGGATGATACAACCACCCCCAAATGATTCTACATATCTAAAACAAGATAATTGAATCAAAATCTCGATTTTTTTTTTTTTTCCGGAGATTCAGTTGGCCTCTTTATTGGAACATGATTATAGGCCCAAATTGGCAAGAAGTTGGCGCCATCTCGGAGTTTCCTCGTCGAATATGTATGTGAGTGGTGAAATCAAAACCCCACTACCTCCAATCTGCAACAAAATAGTAAGATGAGTCGTGATTAATTTGAATAATAATAATAATCATCCAATTATACAATTGGATTCTCGTAAAGTTGCGATCTTATCTTGGCTAATCTTATCTTGAGAACCAAACGGAGCCCAATATAGATGTTCTATTCAAAATCATAGGTAACATAGTATATACATCGATGAATGACGAGCATGCACAAATAGATGTAATGAATCTAAAGAGTAAAAACAACTCTCACCATTCTCAGCTGCTGAACAGATTTGTAAAGTGCTTTCTTCGGTACGCAAATAACTATAGCGAAATAGTCGGCTGATGCCTTCCCGTCACGCTTACAAAAGACTGGGCTTACAGTAGGTCCCTGCGTAACACAAAGCACTAATTCATGTAAGATGTGTATAAGTGCTCGTCTTTGTTTATTATTGGGAAGTTTCTCGTACTAATCCCAGTTTAACAACCAAACGAGACCTAAGATTGGTTTATAAGTTAGACAAACCTGCAAACCGGCTAAAGATGGTTGGCTTAGGACTCGCTCAGCTACTTCCTCTGCACTGCTTCCCCTCATGTTGGCAGTTACCTGCCACGAGAGCTGTTAATTACAAGAATACCGAGAAAAATATATACATATATATATAATTATATAATATAAACATCGATAAACAAGTGATTCGTACCGTGAACTGACCCATAGCCTTTAAATGTGCTTCTAATCTTTCAAGCATCTCGTGAGTTATGTCGAGCACACCTTTTCTCTGGATTAACGACCTTCTGCTAGCTACAAGAACAGCCTGAAACGATAAACCTAGGTCAAAGGAGAGTAACTATAAATCGATCCTCAAATCAGAATTCCCGATGAGTTTTGCAGTTACCTGACTTTCCAAGATAACTCCACCGTCGATTTCTTTCAGGTTATTCTCTTTCAATGTGGTTCCACTACTCACAAGGTCTACAATAGCGTCGGCAATTCCCATCTAAGGAAAAAAAAATGAAGCATAAATTGAAAAGAAATGTAAAAACCAAATTAAGGAGAAAATAGAGCAAGCAACCAGAAAAGTAAAAGGACCGAAAGAAATGTCGTCTACGAATATATAAATTGAAAGTTCAATACTTACAGCTGGAGCTGCTTCAAGAGCTCCATCAGCAGTCGAAAATGCCACGTGATTCATTCCATTCTCTTTCATAAACTTAGGACCCAACTGCAAGAAAAAATGTGCGTTAAATAGAATACTCCAACATAAAGATAACAATAACAACAAATATAAAATAGAGAAATTGATAAATACTGGGAATTTCTATATAGGCCATACATATGTGAAACCCGTAGCAACTCGTAGAGGTCTCTCAGGTGTCCACTGTGGCATCTGAGCAAGCTCTTTCAAGGAATTTATATTCTCAAATATTCCGTACTTGGGAATCTAACAAAGAGAGGAATATTATAATTCTACACCATAAAGTTCAAAATGGAGCGTAAGTTAGCAGTTCGTTGGTCACAGTTACATACGAACTACTTACTGCTAGGGATAAACGGCAATCTCCATAGTCAAGAGCATCGTGGACAATAATGAGATCCTCGTTTCCCTGCAGCAAAACTTTTAATGATTACATGAATACAAAAAAATTCAACAAATTATTGACACAAACAAATAAATGCATTCATAGAGGAATACGAGCAACGTCCCATAATGGAAACTAATTAATCATTAAATAAAAACTAAAATCATTATTCATACATGTAGCACACAATCAAATATTGGATTTAGAAAGACCACGTAACCCGAGTTTCCTACCTGTCCGTATTCCATTATAATGTCCAAACCAACAATTCCAAGGTCCAAATCTCCAGTGACCAATTTCCTCACGACATCTTTTGGGCGTTGGAACCAAACTTCTAAATTTGAAATCTGCAATATGAAAAGGCAAAAGTTTGCTATCATGTAAATCAAATAATGATTATTCCTAAATGAACACACGAGGACAAAAAAAAATTCTACCACAGACATTTACCCTACAAAAAGGGTAATAATTTTGATGTAAACTGCAGAGGTTATATCTAGGTTGAATATATTTTCGAAAAGGGAGCTGCAGAATTGCTCGTGTCAAGAAATATATAGTCAGTTGAATACTTATTTGCGATCAATACGAAAGTCAATCGATAAAGCTTATCACGTAAGTTATTGATAGAGACTACATATTCCCTTTTATATTTCAGTTAGTTGTCTCATTCAATGTTAAGCAGCTACATCTCAAAATCCTTCTTCAAGTAATTCAAATCACTGTAGAAGTGGATTTACCGACATAATTTTGGTCTTAAATTCTAGAACTTATGTTTTGTGGTCCAATGTAGTTATTCAAATAGGATTCATCAATAGATGAAATTCATAAAAGACGAACGAAAGACTCGTATATGAAAATCAAAACATCAGTTGTTAATCTTATCGTTAAGAACTATTCGATACAATCTCAACAAGGTCTCCCATCCTAAGAACTGAGAGTGGACAACTGAGTATACACCGGCCTCGTTGAAAAGTTAATATACAAAGCTGTTAATGTATAACATTTCAATTTTATAACCCAATCAAATAAACAAACAGAGAGATAGAATGCCAAACCAATCAATTCTTCTCGTGTATCTTAGAGAGAGAAACACACACACACACACACAGAGTTACCAATTGATCTGTATCAAAAAACACAAAATACCCGCCTAAGAAAATGAACGCACCTGGGGAATTTCTGCAACATACTGCCGTGGATTCACTTGCCTCACCGACAATTGACAATCCTTTACATTTCACCCAAAAAAAACCCCCAAAATATAAAATAAATCAGAAATCTGGAATAAGCTAATACAAACCTAATGCCAGAAAATTGCTAGAATAAATTCAAATATATATGCACATAGATTGGGGATTTACCTTGAGAAGATCAAGTGTGTCGGTAGCCATTCGTCCTTTACTCGGCAAGCCAAGGCGAACTTGATTTCTCTCCGACGGCTTCTTATCAACATTCCCGTTCACCACCGTAATCGGCGACGCCACCGAGCAACACGAGACTGTGAATTTCACTGAAATTGAATTCGTCGGGGAAGATGAAGCCGACGAATGCGGGAACGACGGGGAGTGGAGGAAAGTTGTCCGAATCACAGACATTTTTTTGCAATTTTTTTTTTCTCTCTCTACTTATATAGTTTTTTGCAGTGTGTGTTCAGAGTGTTAGAGAGAGAGAGATAGAAGAGAGAGAAAGAGAGATATAAACGCCGCCGCAGACGTTTATTGGGTGCGGGGGAGAACACAAAAAATGAGTACTGTAGTGTGGTGTATATCTTCGCCGAGTGCTTACGTGGACACTCATCAGGGTTTTAATCAGCTACTACGCGCACTACTGTGGATGTATATGTCTTTCCGTATACGAATGGTAAAGATTTATCTAGTCGTATTTTATTTGGTATAACATCTCGTATTTTTTGATATTTCGCACACAAACAGACACACATGTGTGTAGATCAACGGTAGAAAATGCTTTCGAGAATAATATTTTACTTGTTATACATTTCACCACCACCGAGTATAACATAGATTTGATTGTGTTAGAAAATGCTTTCGAGAATAAATTATAAGTTTTTTTTTCCTTTTAATCGATTTTTGAGTATTTAGTATAATTTGTATGTCTTTTTTTCTTAGGTAAGTTATTTTAAGTTGTAATTTTAAAAATAAATTTACACTTCCATATCTATATATAATCAAAAGTTGCATTGAGCATTTTTGTCATTATAATTTTTATGTGAATTGTGATGTACGGTTAAATAATTATAAATTAATATAGTTGACACTAATAAAATTTTACTAATTTAGTCAACTATTAAATTATCGAATTAATAATTTAATACATTTTAACGAGTTGGGATTGATTTGTTTATTAATTAAATTGAGATTATTAATTTATCAAGTATTAAATTATTGAGATTCTACTATATTTACATAATTATTAGGATAAATAGCAAATAGGTCCATGAGTTATTAATTTATCGAGATTAATTTATTGAGATTACTGTATCTACATAACTATTAGGGTAAAGGGCAAATAGCCAATGACATGGACACTTAATTAAAAAATTGGATATCCAACTTTTACTGTCTTGCAAATAAATTCACCTCATTCAAATTTATTTGCAAATAAGGAAAACTCTTTTATATATATCAAAATTATCCCTAACTCCTTGAAACCCTAATTTAACTCTAATTTCAAGATTTACACCCCAATTTAGCCAAAATTCACAAGTTAACCAATTTTGACCCTTATTCTACTTTTGACCGCCACCGCCACCGTCGGTCTTCAATATTGATTGTTTTTTTGAAAAAAAAATTCTTAAAAATAATAATTTAATTAATATTATTGTTTGACATGCAATATTACTGTCTCCGACAGTAATAGTCTGAGACAATAATTTTACTATATTAATTAATTTTATCGTCTTGGTCTGCAATTTTGCTGTCTTCGACGGTAATATTATTCTCCGACCGTAATATTACTGTCTCGTGCAGTAATGTTAATGTTTATGACATAAATATTAGTAATATTGATGTTCAGGAAAGTGATATTCGTAATATTACTGTTCGGGACAATAATATTAGTGTTCATGACAGTAATATTACTTCGTGGAACAATAAGATGGTAATATTATTGTTTTGGTATTTAATATTATTTTCTTAGACAATAAAATGAGACTTTCTATTGGGCGCGTTAAATTATACTTTGCGTTATCACTCCCTTATTACCTCGGGCACATGACAAATAATCTTTGCATTCCAAATTTACTCAAAAGCCCTAATGCGCGACTTTGCGAGTTTTCACCCGTTTCACTTTAGGAAAATTCCAGAATAACATTAGATGGAAGAGATGGATCAAGTACAAGATGAAAAAAATGATGTATTTAACAAGGGAAAATTACAATTTTGGTCCCTCAAATTTGTACCGATTTGACATTTGGTCCTTCATGTTCTTAAAAAACATATTTGATCTCTCATGTTTCAATAATTTAACATTTTTTGTACCATTAGTTCATTAATTAATGCAGTGATTGGTACACGCTTGATTCCGTTAGTACTAACAGAAAATTGACGAAAAAGACTAAAAATGTTGAATTTTTATAACACGAGGGACCAAATATGAGATCGATGCAAATTTGAGGGATGAAAACTGTATTTTTCACATTCGACAACAATTTTTTTATTTTTTTTTCCATTTTTAATAGACTTTAATTCGATGTAATAAAAAATAATTTTCAATAGAAAAAAATTAGTCATGTTTCCTAATTTCTATTTATTGTTCACCAATTAGGGCAATTTTAGCAAATTCCCCCCCAAAAATAATTGCATAATTTAATCAGAGTCTACAATTCAATGTTTCAGAAATCGACCACCACCGCCTTAAGATGATGCACAATACAACAACAACAATCGCAACCAGAAAGCATCACCACGCGAATATTCCGATCACTGAAGAAAGCGGCGTGCACAATTCCGATGATCAAACCCTCAAAACCCCAGTCGGAGAGAACTCCTTATTCCGGCAAAACTATCCACTCTTAATTCCGATCTGAAAATAGAATCATCGCCGCCGTCAAATTTCCTCCGATCATCAGCTGTTGCCGCCCATTTCTGAGCTCTCGCCGCCATAAATAACAGATCTTTCAGGAACCTCGCAAAAATCCCCATTTAATTTACTTCAATCTTCACTCCTGGAAAGTGAAATTGCGCTCGGCCGCCACCAAGCTGGGGATTGGAATCGTTGTTGAGCGATTATTGAGGCGGAAACAGAAGTCAAACGGAAAGCCCGTTTGCTTGGGCAATTCGTTGAAGTGGTGTGGAATTAAGAATGAGCTTGTGGTAGTTTGGAATTTGAGGTGTTCTTATTTTTCTTGTTGTTGTGTGAATTGTGGAGAATGGGGTCCGAGGAGGTGGCTGCGGCTGTCACGTCGGATTTGTACAGGGGGATGTCGTCGGACAATATAAAAGGGCTGGTTTTGGCTCTGTCTTCAAGCTTCTTCATTGGCGCCAGTTTCATTGTTAAGAAAAAGGGATTAAAGAAAGCCGGTGCTTCTGGCGTCAGGGCTGGTAATTTTTACCCTTTTGTATTGGCTGCATTTTAACTTGGTTTTTGAAGTTTGGAATTGAGGGACTCCAGGTGTTTGATATATTGCTTGTTAGAAGTTTTGTTGGGTTGGTTAATGATAAGTGGTGCTACTGTGCTTTGATTGTCAGGAATTTTGAGTTTTTATGTAGTTGTATTTGCTTTTGTAGTGTTCGTTTGATCGTCTGTTTTGGAGCACCGTTATTGCATGTAGATAATTAAGTTGGAGTCATGATCAATAATGCTAGAGGTCATGTCATCTGGGAAAAATAATGCAAGATTATTATGCCCAAGGCATTCATCATTGATCTTCGAGCCCATAGTGTTTCTTGAAATGGTTTTGATGATTTATCTTCTATTTCCTTGGTGTAAAATGATCGTAAACCTTAGCTATTCATTTATTTGGTTTTGGTATAGGTCTATCAAGATTGCAAATCAATTTTTTTTATCCTCAAATGCAAACAAGTTTAGGAGGGATTTTGTATTTCTTGTCTGGAAGCAGTGATAACCCCTTTACTGTGTTGGATGAACTTGTCTCTTAAAACACTGGGTCTGAAATTTTTTTTATCACTTCCTTGAATGAAGCCTTTCATGTAACTTTCAAAATCTATCGACTTTTGTTTTGAAGAGGCGGGATTTGATTTTTCTTGGCAAATGAAGTGCTTGGACTTTAGTTATAAAACTAGTGATTAGAAGCGTTATAGAGGTCTTCAGTGTTCTGTCCCTTTTGTAATTTACTTCTAGTATTTAGGAAACTGATTGATTAGTATACAAGATTCAAATCTGGAGTTGATGCTAAGGCAACTCCTGTAGGAACATCTTCGGTGGAAATAATCTGGTTAGTACGCCGTAGGCATTTATAAGCCAACAAATTTTGCACCCTCAGAACAATTAAGTGCCATATTTTAGTACTCCACTCTAGTAGTTATTGGGGTTAACTGTGTTGCTGTTTGTTGATATATACAATTTCAAGCACTGTAACATGATAAACCTTCAGCCAGTCCTTCCCAGTCTATTCAAGTTGTTATACCACTGCCAGATTACAATTTAGGGCAATATTTTTTGGATAGAAATTAGAAATTTGTCTTGAAAGCCCTTACATTTACACTTCTAAGTTTCCTAAAACCAATCCCAGCCTTTTTATGTGGCTTGCATTGATTTCTGACTTTGTATCCAAATCATTTTAATGATACCATTCATCTACATCAACAATTTTTTCAAATAGTATTCTAATTGCTTCAAGGAGACGAAAACAAGAATTCTTTTTATGTGGCATGAGATTATTTTCATATTTACTGAAAGATGCAACCATTGGTGAGTTATATAGTTTATTGTATTCCCAGGAGGAGATACCAATTAAATGTCACATTTTCTTATCCAGACTAACTAGGCAATATAGAGTATACCTTTCTTAACAAGTTTTAAGCCAAACTTCTAGATAGAAAGTCAACTTTGACCACTGATTTTGTTGTAAAAAGAAGTAATGGTAAGAGTTATACTCAATGAAGTACAACTGAAAGTTGCAGACATGCATATGATACCGGGATGATTAGCATTGTATTGAAAAAATAAGATTTTACTAGGGACCATTGTATTGATAACAAAACTTCCGTTATGCTAAATGTCTTTGTTGTTCTTTGCAAATCTCTTCAATTGTTTGTTTAGCCAAACCCACCCCATATGGTTATGCTTTTCTGCGATAGGTTAAGCTATAAAATCATAATATTGATCTTCTTTCTATTTTTTTCTACAGGAGTTGGAGGGTATTCTTATCTATACGAACCACTATGGTGGACGGGAATGATCACAAGTAAGCTGTCTATCATGTATTCGTACATATGAGGTCCGGGGTTTGGATCTTGTCACTTACCTCCTTTACTGTGTGTTCGTATTTGATTCTTTCTGTTGCTCAAGTATATTATTGACCTGATGCTGAATATAAAAAAGGTTAATAGAAAAGATGGGGACCTAGGTTCCTGCCCGATTCTCTTTGGTCTAATCTATAGTATACATATCTTTCTACTGGGAGAATGCTTTTGGTCTGAGCTTGAAATCTCGTATTAAGTTCTTCGAGCGTGATATAGCTTTCTTTTAATTTTATTGTTGCTTTCTTGGAGAAAATAATGAATGAACGGTGGCAAAGGCTCACTAGAAAAAGATATGTACTTAACCGTGAAGCTTATACGCAGTGACTTTGTCCAACATATATAGAAGACTCTTTCTAGGCCCTCTTTATCCATAACTTCTCGCAGGAGAATATCAGTAGTGATTTGGGGTGTGTATACTGTGCTTTTCGGTCAAGATGATTCACTACATGATCTTGATTATCCAATCTTATCGAGAAATTTTGGAAAATATACTTAAATTTTAAAGGACATACAGAAAATCACTTCACATTTGAACTGTTAAAGCTTCATTTGGTTTCTAAGATAAGATTATGCAATCTTATGAGAACCCAATTGTATAATTGGACCATGGGAGGTCCAGTACTTTAAGTTATGAGCTAATTTTTCCATAATTGCGGGCCGGTCCTGAAAAGATATTGCACTAACCGAATAACAAATAAGACCTGACTATTTAATTAATCATGGCTTATCTTACCAACCAAACAAGACCAAATGCATTGTCAGCTGATGTACAGTATTTTGTTAGACAAACCTGTTATATTCCCTCATCATGCTCTTCACTTTACTTATTGCACTTTCCATATTCATCAGTCGTCAAGTTCTATTGCATCTCTCTCCTTTTAAAATCAAGTATAACGGGACAAGGAAACTCTCATCTTAAAGTTTAAATTCATTTTTTACCCTCAAGATAGAAGGTACGATAACTGAGTATTCTATTGATTGCTGCTGTTGTTACAGTGATTGTTGGAGAAATTGCAAATTTTGCAGCTTATGCATTCGCACCAGCCATTCTGGTGACCCCTCTTGGTGCACTCAGCATTATAATCAGGCACGATATATATCAGTTACCTTATTTAAAGTACGGCACCTTGTTTTGACTGCTAACTCTATTGTGCCTATATTACAGTGCTGCACTTGCTCATGTTATTTTACGGGAAAGGTTACACATTTTCGGTATTCTTGGTTGTGCTTTATGTGTTGTGGGATCCACCACAATTGTCCTCCATGCTCCACAAGAACGCGAGATCGAATCTGTGAAAGAAGTGTGGGACCTTGCTACTGAGCCAGGTAACTCTCGACTTTCTAAACTCTTTGCTTTTTATTTTTCTGCAGCATTGTTCTATATATTTTTTTTCTGCTGAGCTTGTAAAGACCTTGCACCTTTTCTGCAGCTTTTGTCTTTTATGCAACTCTGGTGATAGCAATTGTCCTCATTCTGATATTCCATTACGTCCCACAATACGGCCAGACACATATATGGTTCTATATCGGTGTCTGTTCATTAGTTGGTTCATTGTCGGTAGGTATTGCTAATTTTTCTTATTTATTTCGTTTCAGTTTACTCCTCTTCCACAAAAATAAATAAATAAATAAATTAATAATAATAATAAAAGTAGGGTGAATGCTTTGGCAGGTAATGAGTGTGAAAGCACTAGGAATTGCATTGAAGCTGACATTGTCAGGAACGAATCAGCTAACGTATCCCCAGACATGGGTTTTTGCGACGGTTGTCATAGTTTGTGTCCTCACTCAGATGAATTACCTAAACAAGGTAAAGAGCTTATTGCTTCGCCACAATTTTCCCTCTGATTTGTTGTGTTCTTTCGTAGTATATCTAATCTAACCGATGTTTGGTGAATCTTGAATGCAGGCCCTCGACACATTCAACACCGCCGTAGTTTCACCCATTTACTACGTGATGTTCACGTCCTTAACCATCGTGGCTAGTGTGATCATGTTCAAGGTAACGGGGATCAAAATCCACATTCTCGTTTCTTACATAATGCCCTGATATAAGTAGATAACACGGAGTTCGCATTTCATTCTAGAAAATTGAAAAGTGACGGATACGTATTGATTAAGCACGAAAAATTAGAAGGCTATTATAGTGACCAATATTAAGATTTAAGAATGTTGGGTATTGACATGGGCAGGATTGGGACAGGCAGAATCCAACGCAGATCATTACAGAAATGTGTGGGTTTGTGACTATTCTTTCCGGGACGTTTCTTCTTCACAAGACAAAAGACATGGTCGCCGATGGTACGTACATTCCCCCGATTAAACACTTTCTTGCTTCTCTTTATAGTGCTTCCTTCAAACACGATATTAGGCTAGTAATTTGATTCTTCGCTTGATATGAACCGTAATTCGCGCCCCGTTTGAGAATGTTGATAAGATTGATTGACACAGTCCATGTATATATATATATATATATATATATATATATATATATATATATATATATATATATATTTGATTATCTTATGTTTGACAGTTGTGATTACACAATCCTTGTGTAGTAATAATAGGTTTCGATTGTGGACTAAGTATCGTTCATACGCCTGATTAACAAACTATATTGATGTAGGTAATTCGTCAACTGGGACGAGACAATCTAAGCATGGAAACGAGGATGGTGGTGAAGAAGGCATCCCTCTAAGGCGTCAAGATTCTTCAAGAACATGATGTATGTTTATTATTATTACAATTTTTTTAACCTTCTTTTTTCTTCTTTTAACTTGTAACTTTTTTGTCGAATGCGAAATCCCGAAATCTATGCTCTTTCAAATATATACCACACGTATTCATTCATCTTGTATTTTATTAGATACTGGAACAGTCCTCAACGTGCATTTTTGTTCGAGTCGAGAGTAAGATTGATTTTTCCCCCCTCGTCTAAGGCTACTTAAAGAACTACCAGCAGACTCGTGTATTTTGGTGCACATGTTTACGGAAACTTTATTGCAAAATTTGAAATCTTTCGATCCAATGCAACTATAGAGTGAATGCATTTGGATTTGAAAGATTAGATGAATTTAAAATACGTTGACAAACTAATCTCAGGTTGCATTTGGACTTGATGACTTGTTTTTGAGGAGGAGGTCTATGGGAATAATTCCAAATAACTTTCGGGTAAATTACAATCGCCCCCGAGGTAAGGTCTATTTACGAAAAAACTCTATTAATTTTCCATAATTATATCCATCCACTGCAATTTGTAAAAGATTTCTTACATTAATTAACACCCTTTTGTAGGGGGTGGATGTAAGAAATTTACACACTATAGGGGTTGGATGTAATTTCTCAAAAAATAAGGGTTTTTTTTTTAATTACACTTAACATCTCCCTTTCAGTCACATATTTAACAAAATCAGATATACAATTGGAACCAAAATTATATTTTCTGAAGATCTGTACACAATTTCCATTTCAATTTGAAAAAATTAATGTTTATTAATTCGAAACTTGAAATTTTTCGAATTTGGATAGACGAAATTTGAAAATTATTTTCGATTTTCATACTTCAATTTAATTTCAAAATCTGAAGAAATAAAATAAAATGAAAATAAAAAAGGGTATCATAGTAAATCAAGTTCCAGAACCCGGGTTAGGGTTCACACCGTATAAAAACTCCTCCCCCTCTTCACTTTTCTTCATTAATTTATTTATTTTGACAAATCCCACTCTTTTTTTCTTCAATTAAATATTTTCAATTTTTTGTCAAAAGTTTTATATTTGGTAAAAAGACTTTTATCCCCTTGAGGCCAAATTTGCTTCATACTACAAAATAGTTGGTTTTCACTCTTGCATAAAAATCTTATTGTGATTAATCTATTTTAATTCAATTAAACACTTAATTTATTTATAATTAGAATGAACTAAATAATTGTATTATTTGGTCATTAAAGAGAAATGTGGAACCAGTTGAATTTGACCACAATTTTATTCGATGAACAATTATATATATATTTTACTATTTTAATAGTTAGCTGGTTAAGTAAGATACGAGATGTGAAGCAACACAATACACAATGTATTTCCGATTCGATTGTTCCTAGTACCTAAGATACAAACTCCATAAACAAAAAAAGGGTCAAACATTGAACAAGTGAAGTGTAAACATCAGTGCAGAATGACACTCCACCCATAATATATAAAATTACATTTTTTTTAGTTGCTATATATATATATATATATATATATATATATATATATATATATATATATATATGAATATATATTCCAACTGCCCACCTGCTTCTTTTGTGATTCTTGTGCTTGGAAATAATGTTAAAGTCAAATAATGTAAGCATGTGTAAGATAATATAGTCCTACTTCTATTACAGCATAAGACAATCCAATTTTCTTTTTCTCTTTTTTTTTTTTTGTTTAAAAAAAATGTAAAAAAAAATGATGGTGATGAAAATAAAATCAGTCATTTCAATGTAATATCAGCCAAGATTTCCCTAACCAACAAGCTCCCTTTACACATATTAACACTATCATCATCATCATCATCATCATCATTTGCACACTTCACAATTTCACCACACAATTTCTTCCCGCTACCAAATAATCGAAACTTTCTTCGTCTCATCATGGAAAGAATCATGTCGTAAACATAGTTCATCGATAAGGGCGCTCGCACAATCGGCTCCACTATCAAACCCTCCAAAATCCCGACGATTTCATCCATCGGAGGCCGATTGTTTTGTTCGACGGACAAACAACGAGCCGCCACTTGTAGCAACTCCTCGATTCTACCTCCCACTAAATTTCGTGGCCAATCGATTTTCCCGTCGCAGATATCCGCCGCCCGGCCCCGCTCGATCAATGGGAGAGCCCAATCAATGATTGAGGCCGGAGATTCATCCATATCGATCGCTCTTCTGCCGGATATTAACTCCAGCAACACCACTCCGTAGCTGAACACGTCGACTTTTGTGCTCAGCTCGCTAGGTGTGGTGTAGCTAGGGTCTATGTACCCTATAGTTCCCGCAGGAATCTTATAATTCGCCACGTCATCAATACTACTAGTACTATTATGTAACCGCGTGGCTAGCCCAAAATCGGCTAGCTTCGCGTTCCAATTGTCGTCAAGCAAAATATTGGCCGATTTGATGTCGCGGTGGACGACCGTGGGGTCCGACTCATGCAAGAACCGGACCCCACATGCTACCTGCACCGCGATCTCCAAACGCGTCCGCCACAACAGCATCTGTTGATGCTGATGTGGCAACGCGGGACTCGTTGGGAGAGTAGAAGGGTGGAGGATCTCGTGGAGCGTGCCGTTCGGCATGTACTCGGTTACGATTGCGGTCACTTTCTCGGTTGGGTGGGGCCCGCCGCTAGTGCAACCGAGAAAGTCGACGATGCATGGATGACTCTCCGGAGATAGTGAGGAGAGAATACTCGCTTCGTTTTCGAGTTTGGTGTCGTCTTGAAGCTTTTGGAGGGCTAACGATTGCTTCTTTACGGCGATTTGGGTGCCGTCTTCGAGGACGCCTCTGTAAACGCTTCCGTGGCTTCCTTTTCCGATCAGCCGCGACGGAGAGAAGCTCTCCGTGGCGGCTTCAAGTTCATGGAGCTCAAATACTTTCATATATTTCTTTTTTTTTTTTTTAATATTTTTTTTCTTTGCAAGAATGTTGGTTTTGGTACATTGAGTTTGGACTTTGAAGCTTATACTAAGTAAAACGTGAGAGGGTGAGAGAAAGAAAGGGTCTACTCTACGTGGGAATAATGTTTATATATATATATATATATATATATATATATATATATATATATATATATATATATATATATATATATATTATTAAAAAAGTTTAATATCAAGATCAAGAAAAAAGTATGAGAAGGAATCAAATATATTTTTATTTATTTGAAATTTTCTAGATAAAAGCAAAAGGGTGTTTCAAGAAAAGGCAAAGGTGGCTGACGAGGTCAGAATATTAATGAATTAATTAGCTGTATTCAGGTCCCCATTTTCTTTACCTTTTTTTTTTTAATTTTTTTTTTTTGCCTTTAATTAGGATGATGAGAGAAATATTGGGATACCAAAATCTTTTTGTGGTGATTAATTTTTTTAATATTTGGCCCATGTTGAATTAATTAAATTATTTGTAGCTAAAGTTGAATGGTATTTTTTGATTTTGTTTCACTAGCTAGTTACTTTTTTTGGTACAATTGAATTCAAAAAGTGCACTTGTTATGGCAATCTTGAGGTAATGTCAAATTAAAAAAAAACACAAAAAGTTTGGATATTACAATTATCCTCTCAATTATAAATCTTTTTACACGTCTTAGTGAAATCTCCAGTTTGTATCCATTTTACCTGATTCGAACTCCACATTTTGAAACAAGATGATCATAAAATGTGTTTTTTAACTTGTAAATATCAGATTGTGATGCATTAGAAACTGCATTTTAAAACAAAACGAGTACAAACTAAAAAACATTTCATGGAATCTAGAAGATCCTATTTATTTTAAATTTGACATCATAAGAGTAGACGTGATTATTGAATTCTTCTCACTTTTTTCCGCAAAGCGAGTTGATTTATTCTTATTTAGTCACACGTCGCCACAAATAACCGAGACATGATCGGTGCGACTAGTTGATATTGTTCTTAATAGAGATCTTTATTGTATGTGTTCCATTGTATGCATCGAGTGTTCGTTTGTTCATTGCACGTGTTCATTTGTGCGCGTATTTTTTTTGTTGTGTGCATTACATATGCATGATTGTGTGTAAATTTTCATCTACAATACCAAATATATACACAATTATACGTATATAAGTATCAATTATGGCATATAATTATATGACCATGTCATCTTATTGCATCCAAAAATAATAATAACAATAAAATCGATCGACCAATAGAATCACACGGTTTGAAAAACATCAGGATTCTCGAAATCAAGCCGAGCAAAGAAAAGTAAGAACACAAAAGAAGAATCACCATCAGTAAGTAAAATAAAACGAACAATTCTGAGATAGCACGAATTTCTGTCACAAGAGGAATTAAACCAAAAAAGATTAATCGAATTATGTTCGGATAAACACCTCGGGTGAGTCACATCCCAGAACTCAGTTTTTTTTTTTTTCTGGTGCGGACTCCCAGGCGCACACGGCACTAAACCTTAGCACAAGACAAATTTCGGCTTTCACCCCGTGTATAAGGAGGTGGATAATAATTACGCAAACAAGAGGGGTTTTTCGTAATTTGGGCTTATACCCATTTGGTTATTGGCTAACTTCAACACACGAGGGAAAAAAAAAAATCAAGAACGACTTACTTTATATATGGCTAGAAAAGGAATCATGAGAGGGGTTCGTTTCCTTGTGTTTGAGGGAAAGATTAGCAAACTGTTGATCGAAATCTCTGCTCTTTGCTCTTCGGTGAACTGAAGAAGATATTTGCTGCTGTTGTGGCTGCTGCATATTTTGTTGCTGATATAAGCTTCGTAGTCTTCCAGCTTCTCTCTCCAGTACGTCTTGCTCCACTGCGTACAGTTACAATGTCGACAAAATTAGTTTCCGAGGAAACTACTATAGTAATGAGCTTTGAACAATTGGGGAGAAAGAAACTTACAATACTTGATGAGCTGCTCTTGAGTTAAACTTTCTAAACGTTGTTTCAGCGTTTTATTTTCCATGTTCAGAATGAGATTTTGCTGGTTGAGAAATTCGAGCTCGGCAGAAACTTCAGAGCCTTCTGCCTGCATAATTAAAAACATTTATATATATTGTTACATCCAATAGTAGTGTGAAATACATTCTTGAGATTTTTTTTGAGAAGCATAAAATACGTGCCTGTAGAGCATAGACATTTCTTTCGAGTTCAGCTATATATTGAAGCTTCCGTACACGTGAACGTTGAGCAAATTGCCTGCATAAGGTTGAAAAAGTTATGTTTTGAAAACTTCGAATTGAGAGCATAATTCTAATTGCAAAGTACTTTTGCACTCGCTAACAGAAACGGTAAAACATTCAGAAAAAAAATGGAGTAACGAAACAAACAGAAACTGCTAAAGAATTGTGCATTCAAGTTAAAAAGGAGGGTTGACATACTGTTTGGCACGTTTTGTGTCCGTTTCCGATGCCGAAGACCTGAGATGAAAAGGTTCCTTCTTTCCGAAGCAGCCCTTTGGATCTTGTTGACCAGATTCAACATCCTTCTTTTCAGCCGACAAAGTTGGAGGTGTAACCCATGGCTTGTTCTTGTTTTTGCCGCAAGGATTCGGGTCGGCGTAAAAGGCACTGTGATGCATATCACTATAAATATTGAAATCTTGGGAACCCCACGAAAGCGACGGAGATATGTTCTTGAACTTGTTATTGTCATCCTGCGCTGCATAATTCATGCTCGCGATTTTATTTGTGTCGTTATATGCAAACGAATCACTTGATGAACGACGATGACCTCCTTTACGCACAGGCGTGTCTGGCTCGTTTAGGAGGTCGTCCAGCCAAGAAGGTTGTTCCTCTATCAAGAAGCTTTCGGAGGAAGTTCGTTGATGGTGGGAATTTCCGTCTCTCGGTTTTGGAAGACTCTTTGGAGCGATAGCTGAACTAGGAATGTATTCGGTATAGGATGGGGAGATGCTCGGAAATGGAATCTTAGGGGGTAATAACGAGTTCTTCCCATGGTATGTCATACTTCCAATGGTAGAAGCCCCCTTGGAGTTCGCCATCGACAAAGAAAACCAGCTTCTGTAAAATATATCAACAAGCTCCAGTTAATAATTTTAAGTTAGTCATGGAAACTAAAAGCTGCACTTACAATTTGCATCGCTCATATTTCTCCACACGGCATTCAAACTATCCAATAAGCACATACACTAAGTCGTTAATGCGAAAAAGCATAAGCTCACAGAATTTTAGAATAAAAAAATAAAAATCAAAGTTCATATTTGAAAAATCAATGAACAATGGCCGATTCAGACTAACATCGGCACTGAAGAAAATGTTTGGATGCAAGTGTATTTCTCACTAGCATTAAAAAATGTGTATTTATTTTAACTATGTAATATTACCAATCATTTATACTCGAAACCATCAGATTCTTTAGAATGATCATAATTCATACACTAATTACTGTGACTTGCAAATGACTGGAATATAAACAGTAAAATCACTGCATTGATCAGAACAAGTTGCTGAAAACTCAAAAAGATTCCGAACAATTCCTGCAGGGTATATCATAATTTTCGGCTGAAATAATGCAATAACATTACGACATTCCAACTTAAAAGGGATTTATTTCTCACCAAACGTCGATCCTCATTGATATACATATAGATATAAAGCGTGATTCATATCCCTAAATTTTAAACGTCTTCACCAATGACTCAGTGTATACGTATAGATATAAAAAAAAAGGTTTTTGATTCACCCAAATTCTGGCAATGACGATCAAATGAAGCGAAGTAGTAACTCTTGCCAATCAAAAATATGATACGAGTACTCAATCACTGAACTAGTGAGATCCGGAAAGAAATGAATGCTAAAACTTGAATAGTTACGCAAAAGGATCGTGTCACAGAAAGCAGATCCAGTAGGAGAAAGAATTGGATTGCAATGAATTTTTGCTCTGTTTTACTCGGTTTTCTTCTTCTGATCGAAAAGCCCCTTTAACTTTGCCTTGATTCTTGTTTTTATCTCTCATTCGTTTGTTTCCTCTCTCTGTACTACTTATGCACGCTGCCATTTTACGTGAAAATGTGCAACTCTTTGATTGGACTTTTTTGACAAAACAACATGATAAATAAGCTAAGTTTTCAAGACGTAAATCAGTCAGACAGATAGATGCACCTATATGGGAACTGAGTTCTCAATACAAGATGATTTAACATGCTACATTTGAGAAAAAATGGAAACAAAAGGTAAGTTAAAAAAATCAGGGTTTCAAGGGCAGCGTCACCAATTTTTTTAAATTGATTCCTTAAAAATTGTTAAATATTTACAGTTAATTTAGTATGTGAAGAAGAATTTTTTCTTTTCTTTCTTTTTTTTTGGTGGGGGGGGGGCACATATTTATGAAATTTTATTATAAATCGTACATTAAAAAACAATCAATTTGTTTTGGGGGGCGGCTGCCCCACTTGGCATAGCACAGGGTACGCCCCTGCCTGGTCATAAGGTTCCATCCCAACATATTAGTCCAAGTCAACTCCCAACACCCATCCACCAATTCAACATTATATTGAGTCTTGTTTCCGAGTTTTCTTTATCTCAAGCTTTACATTAAACTAGAAACATGAATCGAGGGGGGCTTAAATTGACTCTTATTCACCGAGACGACACCAGATTAATCAAATAAACACATGCATTAACATACGAACGCTGTTCACCCAAAAAACAAAGCGTCGGAGACTTATCCCTAAAAAGTATTAAAAGATCTGTCTCATTAAAGCTGAATCAACGAATAAAGTGCCGACTTCAAAACACAAAATTGTAGCAACAAGACATTAAATCCGCTCGCTAACTAATTCTTTCCAGTTTCTTTTGTTTCTCTCACTCAACATTGAAACTGGAAAATGCGATAACAAACTACATTTAACATCGTTTTTCGTACTCGATACCCGAAAATTACATCTTCAATTACTAGGGCAAACTGGAAATTATCCACTGCAATTACTTCAATCATTAATTCAAGCACCTGAAAGTAAAAAGCTTCGGAATGCAAGTCCCCAAGAGTATAGCCACCATTTTCAGATGAAAATTTGATAATTACCCATATCCACTAAATGAAGAACCCTCTTTCTTCAAGCTCAAACAATTAATAAAAAAAAAATTAAGCTTGATTAAATCCCCTAAATTATCCTTCTTCTCCGCAAACAGACATTTAGAGAGAGAAAAATGATCCACAATTTATCTAAACCCAACAAACCCTAATCAGCACTAAATCACACACACACACACACACACACACACACACAAAATGGTTAAAAAATCAGTAAATAATTGAATGCTTACCTTCAATAATCCGAATTGAGATCTTGACAATGTGATACAGAGTGAATTGAGAAGCGACAAGAATCAAAAGCTCAATCAATCAAGTATCTTAATTAGGGTTTCTTCTTCAACGAAAAGCCCCCTTTGTAATTTCTCTCCTTATACAGAGTTTGAGTTCTTATGCTGAAAAAGTTAGGTGTGTATATCGTAGAAGCCCAATTTAATATATATTTACTATTTCTATTTAAAGTTTTTCTACTTAATTTATTTTAATTAAATGAATTTAATAAACTACATATAATACGTGATTGTTCTACTGAAATGCTTTCATAGAACATATTTTACCACCTTGCAGTGCGATTTTATTTCATTTGTAATTTCAAAGTAAAAAACCACAATTCTCTCATACCCTTTTCCAATTATATTTTGTGCATGAACATTTCGTATTCCCTAATACGAAATGGATTAAGGCATTTCGTGCAAAGAAGCACGAATAGTGTTTTTTCACCATACACGAAACCATAAATTTATGTTTTTTATGCATCTCGTGTATTGCACGAAATGAAATACTGCATTTCGTGCAATATAACACGAAATGCCTTTTTTTTTTTCTCATAAATTTGTTTCATTTCGTATAAAGTTACACGAAATACAAGCTTGCATTTCGTGTAAATTTACAAGAAATAAAACAAATTTATGAAAAAAAGGTTTTTCGTGTTATATTGCACGAAATGCAGTGTTTCATTTCGTGCAATACAACACGAAATGCATAAAAAATGTCAAAATTCGATTAAAAAAATACGTTTTTTTTATCTGAAAACCGAAGTAGGTTTCTTTCGTATTGATAATTATTGTGTTATAATTGATATTATCGGAAAAATTTGACGATTTGAAAAGTTTAAAAATTCGGAGGTTGAGAGAATTTGGAAAAAGGTTAAATGAATTCTTGACAAATGAATTATTTTGCACTGTAACTGGAAAAAATTGCACTATGAATAGTAAACCCCTTGTTCTAATATGTTAATTAATTTAAATAGATATTTTATGAAATAAAAAATAATAATTATCACATATAAGAAAGTTGATATTGCCTAACATTCACCTTAGGGTAGAGGTCTAAATGCAAATATTGCAAATTTGACCACATAATTTACATACATTTGCATGTATGTATATAATTCGGGTTTCGATTGTACACTTGATCCAACTTATGCTATTTTTAGTTTGTTTCGGACAACAATTTTTATTTAATTTAATTAATTAAAATTATTTGTGTGCTAAAGTAGGTTAATTGACGAAGACTTAAAAAGTCAAAATATATGTAATAAGAGAAGTAGGTGAAGTGCCAGCAATTACAAGTTGACAACCAGATTCTTTTTAGTTGTAAAGCAGGCCACCACATTATTAATTAGGGATAATTAGTGAGAACCCCCAACACATTTGATTATATTAAGTTGGATTCAGCCCCTTTTCTAATATTAGTGAGACCCCCTCCACTTATTAAATAAAATCTATTTTAATTAAAATTGAATTTGACATGACTAATCTATCCCTGAACTAGGGTTGTTCATGGGTCGGTTTTACCCGACAACCGACCCATTATCTGCCCGACTATTCTGGCCGATAATTGCCCACCAACCGACCCGTTTTGGTCGGGCCGATAATTTTAACCGACCCATGCATGGTTGGGTCGGGTATAGTTTCTAATTTGTTGAAAAGTCGGTTGGCCGATATTACCCGACCAACCGACTTTTTTTTTTTTTTTTTTTTTTTATTTTCTCTTTATGTTTTTACCGACTATTAGTTTTAATATTTAATTTTTGACCTTTCGGTGAAATGAATAAAAATACACAACTAAAAAAACTATACTCTTCATTTTCTTAAATTAAAATTAAAAGTTTCAGAATTTTGTGTTGTGAAAGTGTGAATGGCTAAAGTGATTCGTTTTAGTTTTTATATTGTTTTTGAAAATTTAATTTGTAACATGTGATATCGTTGAAATTGATTTTGGGCATGAAATATTGGAATGTTTGTTGTTGAATTTTGATAGAGGAGTAGCATAATTTTTTTCATTTTTTATTTTTTATTTTAATTAATGTGGCCGATATTGGCCGATAATTTCAACCGACCCGTTTTGGCAACCGACAAAGTCGGTTGCCAACCATTACCCGACTCACAATAGTCGGGCCGATAATGGTTTTACATATTTGTAAGAGTCGGTTGGTCGGGTCGGGCCGATAATCGGCCGATAATCAACCGACCCGACCCATGAACAACCCTACCCTGAACAACATATCACGGGAGATAAATCCTCTCTCTCTCTCTCTCTCTCTCTCTCTCTCTTATGTGCCGGTCGTTCAATCTCAGTTGGAAGAACAACTAAAACTCCGATAGCGACAACCATCAACAAATCATCCTCTAGGTTAGGTCGTCGATGCGGAAGTCTAAGATGACGTTATGGCCCCTCCTTCGGCAGGATTTACGGAGATGGCAGAAGCTGCTTCCTAGGGTTTCACAAGGGTTGTATTGGAAGATGCAGTTTCTTTAATTTATGTCGGTATTGTTGTATTTTCCCTACGAGAATTAGAATGTTGTTGATTCTGCAGCCATGAAAGTTTTCCTCTCTTTCTATTTTTCCCTCTTTTTTGGGATTCTCTGTATTAGGGTTTTCGTTGTGGAGAAGATGGTATTTTAATAGCCGTTTAAGTCCTAATTTATAGTAGTTTTCGCTGGAATTGGGATGGTTTGTTTGTACTTTATATATTTTAATACTTTTGTAGTTGATTTTCTCTCATTTTGTAATTCATTTCGATAATTTTATAGTTGAATGAATTGAATTTTTGTGATGTTTGATGCAATGAATTTATTTGTTATGTCAATGGGTTTTTGTGATCATTGTTGTTCAAATACAATTATTTTTTATAGTTGTTTTTGATAGTTTGTAGTTTATTTCGATAATCTTGCAGTGAATTAATTTTTTTTTTGTTAACTATAGTTATTTTTGTGCATTTTTACATTTTTATAGTTGAGTTGCATAATAGTTGATTTTAGGGGCTCTTTGAGATAAGTTATGTTCAAGTAACTTATAAATAATTTTGGCATTTTTATAGTCGTTTCTAGTGTCCCTGCATATTTATAGTTGGTTTTGACAAATTCTAATATTTTACTTTTGTACTTGTATCAATCATTGGTTGGATGGTGGGAACGATTAAAGCTCTATTACTGGATCCCAGCCTCCACCACCAAAAGGATAACACTTTTTTCCCGGCGATGATGACTCGGTGGATTCATTCAAAGAGATTTCCTATGTAATAATATGTATATATGAGTAATTTTTTTTTGATATGTTCATCGTTGTTTTGTATTTATCGTACTACGTTTGTTATTGTTTCAAAATGCAGACAATCTGCTGGCGTTAAACATGTAATCATTTATTGTATAGTTTATTAATTAAGATTCATAGTTTAATAAAAAAAAATGATAATTGATCCTTGGTAAGTTTTGTTGAAGACAATCTGCTATCGAGTTTGTTTGATTTTGATTTTTTTTATCAATTGAGAGGTTTGAAGTTGATTATATGCATAACGTAACTTTGTAAAACGAAATCAACTATTGTCTGCATTAATCAATTATTTTCATTAAAAAATCAACTATTAGTTCTTGAAATCAACTATTGTCTGCATTACACAACTATTTTTCTTACAAAATTAACTATTAGTTCTTCGATCATCGTAAATAGTAGAAGTGAAATAGTGTTTATATAACAACATCAACATTTGAGTAATAATTTAACAACATCAACTACCGTAATCAACTATTGTTTATATAAAACCAACTATTTAAGGTGTGCTTCGTTAGGTGAACGTTCCTGAAGAATGACCACGTTGCCCAAAGGTTTGATCGAAACTGTCTAACCCAAGTACCCTCTGTCTTTCTCTTTTTTACTATCCTTTTAGTACCCCCTGTTACACAAATTAGGAATAACATTAATTAAACTATCAAACTAGGCATCTTTAGAAAAACATTTTTGCAAAATAGTCAATTTACATATTGTATATGAACAAAATACTCCACTATTACCTAAATAGTCTATTAACAGAGAACAAAAACAGTTTACTAATAATTCCAGAACATTCAAGACACCCAAGCAAATAGGCTATTTGGAATCACAATGGCATGTGCTTTTTTTGACCGAGCAAGTACTACATACAAATGCACAGTAATTCCATCAAGAATAACGGATTAATAACAATCTTAATGAACTATTTAAACAACCATCTACAATATAGCCATATAATATACAATTACATAGTTGTCCAAGTAATTGATTACAAAATAGTATGCCTGCAGTATACTCAAACACGAATTGCACTTTTTTTATTCAAAGTGATATGTTCAAAAATACCAGCAAACCTGCAATGAAAGATTGAACTATTTCTATTTTCGCTAGTTGCGACTACTTAAAAATTTCAAAAACAGTCTATTTACAAAGTAGTCAATTTACAGAATAGTCTACTTTCTCAGAATTGTCTACGTCTATTTGCCCATGATTACAATTGTATTAAATCCACATAAATATACTTCAAATACTCCCTTTACACCCAATTAAAATTGTATTACTTTTCTCATGGTTTTTATTAGTCAACGATTCGTAGAGACCTATTTACAAAATAGTCTATTAACAGAGAACAAAAATAGTTTACTAATAATTCCAGAACATTCAAGACACCCAAGCAAATAGGCTAATTGCGACTACTTAAAAATTTCAAAAACAGTCTATTCACAGTTAACACAAATAGTCTATTTACAAACTAGTCAATTTACAGAATAGTCTATCTAGACAGAATAGTCTATTTTCTCAGAATTATCTATGTCTATTTGCCCACGATTAAAATTGTATTAAATCCACATAAATATACTTCAAATACTCCATTTACACCCAATTAAAATTGTATTACTTTCCTCATGATTTTTATTAGTCAACGATTCGTAGTGACCTATTAACAAAATAGTCTATTTACAAACAACAGAAATAGTCGAATAATATACATACGAATAGACTATTTGGTATTTCACATGGTGTTATGCAAATTTTCGACTGAACAAGTCATACAAACAAATCCCACAAATTACAGCAGGAATACAAATTAATTACCTGCGTCGGTTAGCCGAATGTCGTTCAATGCTTTCGTCCTGCGTTCTCCTGTTCACAAAAAGAAAATGTAAAACAAACACATTTGTAGGCTGTGTTTTTTGGTATAATCGAAAAGAGGATATAAACGAACTAGACTATTTCAAGGGGATACTTACTGCTCCCAGGCCTTCCTTTATTTCCCGATTGCGCTGCGTTGGTGTCCATAGCTTCAAGAATTTCACTTTTTTGGGAATTTTTGTCGCTCTTTTTCCTTTTTTTTTTTAACACAGTGCACGATTCAATATGGGTGTATCGCTGATTTTGGTGGGTGGGTGAATTTAAGAATTTGGCTGCGATTCAATTTCTCTACTCACAGGTTTCGTCGTCGGCGTAGTCGTCTAGCAGATTTAGGTTTTACCGTGGAAGTTATGGAAAGATTATGGAGAGCGAGATTTGGGGATAAAATCTCACAATTTTCAGCAGTTTATTTCCCAGATTTCTCGTGATTATTTTATCAGACATTACGTGGCTCAAATAAGGCTATTTTCGGGATTAATTAAAATAGTGTGTTTCCCACCAATATTGAAAATATGGCTGGATCCCCCATTATTAAAAAAACACTAGAGGGGGTTATGACTAATAGTCCCAAAAAATATTTAATAATTGAAATTTCACTTTGGAATTTTTCAAATTTACAACAATGTTTTTTATTCCCAGAATCCGAAAATTTCATTTTTTTTTTAAAAAAAATTAATCAAAAGTTGACTATATATAGAAGGGTAAATTCCACTTTACCCCTCGTACTCTGCCTGAGAAACACTTTACCCCCTCGTACTCTCAATTTCATCGATTTGCCCTCTTGTATTTGTACAATTTCTCAATACAGCCCTTTCCTTCAACTTTTGTCAATTTTGACTCTGGCGCCGTTTGGTCAACTCTGTAAATTACAAAATTGCCACTGCCTATAACGCGTCTTTTCTCCTCCGTCAATATTGTCATTTCTTCTTCTCCCACCACTTCCCCTTCCAAGATATCCCCAAATTGAACCCCTAACTTAGTAAAAATCAAGACCCAAAAATTGATCGATTTCACCCAGTGTAAAGAAAAAAATATATGAATGTGTGAAACTTTCTCGTTTCTAATCTCGAGAGTCAAAACCAAAAAAATTCAATTTTTAGATCAATATTTTGACTCTTGACCAACGTTAGAGTCAAAATCAAAAAAAGTTGACGAAGAGGGTTGTATTGGGAAGTTGTACAAGTACAAGGGGGTAAATCGACGAAATTAAGAGTACAAGGGGGTAAAGTGGTTCTTGGGCAGAGTACGAGGGGGTAAAGTGAATTTACCCTATATAGAAATTGTTGTAAATAATATGTAAGCACACGTTATCAGCACGAGGCGCTCACGGAAAAGGGGTCGTTTGGGGGATAAGGATATTTGGAAAATTCGTGATTCGGGTGCATTTGTAAAACGGTGATCTCGATCGAGGAACACACTACTTACGTTATTTAAAAAAAGGGTAAATTACAACCACACTCACCCTGAAGTATGCTTAATAACTTTAAGGTCCCCATGGTATCGATAATTACACTCATCCGCTGAAACGTAGTTAGAAACTCTAATGGAATAATGCATTTGATACATTATTCCGATAGGGTTCTAACGAACTATTAATTTTAGCTAGTGGTTGAGACAACATAGAGTTATGGGGTGACATGGCTCCCCCAACATTTCTTAAATCACCCATAGCTCTTTGTTGTCTCCACCACTTCCTGAAACCAATAGTCCGTTAGAACTTTATCGGAATAACGTATCCAATGCATTATCTCATTAGAGTTTCTAACTACGTTTCAGGGGGTGAGTGTAATTATTAATACCACAGGGACCTTAAAGTTATTAAAGCATACCTCAGGGGTGTGGGTGTAATTTACCCTTAAAAAAAATTAAAATAAAAATTAAATTAAACTAGCAGGGATTCAATGGCCAAGGAAAACATAGAGAAAAAGTCAGATTTGAAAATAGTTAAATCCGTGATAATCTCACATGGACCAACTAACTACTAAACTACATTAAACTGTTGATAATTTTCCAATAACTGGAAATAAATACATAATAGTTCATCAACAGGGTATTTAATAATTTACGTCTCCCCTTTTTTTATTCTTTTTTTTTTTGAAATAATAATCGACAAGAACTTTTCAAGAGCCAAGAAGCTTCTTCCATCTGGCATACGCGAAAACGAGAAAGAATAGCACCACAGAAAAAGCTGTCATAATTCCGACAACTTCACCGAAAATACCGTTAGTGTTGTACAGTGTGCAAGGAATGTTCATGCCGAATATACCAGCAAGAGCAGTTTCTACTGCTACTGCAAACGAAGCTATGGTCAAAGTCAACTGCAGTTGGATGAGCTCGTTTCGCTGATTGTCGAGCTGGATGTTGACGTAATCCTCCGTGTCATCGATATACTCACGTACCTTTACGCGAATAAACGAGAGAATATTAGTATCGGCTTCTAATTCTATGTAATACTTTTGTTTAAACTAAGTTATCTAATATATTGCAACTAGCCAACAAAAGGAACTACCGGTGGAAATCGGACAGATCGGATCGGAATTAGCACTTTCGGGAAACAATCAATTTTTAGTTCGGAAGTGAAAACAAATTCCAATTAAATTCCAAAAAAAACAGAAAAATCGGAAATTGGAATGAAAGAACTAGTTCCAAACTCGAAACTTTTTGGATAGCAACCGGGGGAATTCGGAAAATTCCAATTTTTAGTAACCTAAAATAAAAAATGCATAATAATTTTGATATTATAAGTGTATTTTTCAGGGAAAAAAAGGATTTCTGGTATTATTTCCGGAAATCGGATCAGAATCTCATATATATTCAAATTTCAATCCAAAAAAAAAAAAAAAAATCAGAAATCAGAATTTCGGAATGAAAAATATTGTTACAAAATCAGAAAATTTCGGATCAGAATCCAGTTTCAACCCTTAGAAGCAACAGATATGAAGAAAAACATTCAACCAACAAACTTAGTTTACCTTTCTATGCTCATACAATTATTAAATTGTGACTATCTAACAAATGGACTATGAGTTCAAAACATTAATCAACACAAAAAAATAATATCCAGAAATATATATATATATATATATATATATATATATATATATATATATAAGAAAGAAGGGAAAGGGACTTACAGAGAGTATCTTGTTACGGGTGCCATCGAGTTGCATGAAGTAAGCTTCAAGCAACATTTCAAGGTCTTCCACATCTTGGTCATTTAAATAATTGCTAAGCACACTACCACTTCTGGTAGAGCTGACTCGACGGAAATGACCTAAAGCAGGAACAATGCTATTTGATGCAGCAGCAGCAGCATTTGCCAGAGCCTCGTTTTGTTGATTCTGTATCCACTTCCGTGTTAAGTACAGTTGGGCCATATCTTCATTGTCGTCTAGAAGGTGTTCTATTTCATCCCTCACCTATCATCAGAAGACATATTTGCCCGTTCATTAGTGCATAATATAAAAGCCAAATAAGTACCATTACACAATGACTCAGAATGTAACTCACAGTGAGAGCTAAGAATTTTAAGTTCATTATAAAATAAATTGTTGTTGTGGAAAATACTTCTATCAGTTCTCTCCAAATAAGATAAAATAAGATATATGTACGAAGAAAACCTGAAAATCATTCTTTAAGAATGAGAAAAAGACAAGAAATTTCCAATAAAAATAAAAGAGGATAAGATGAACATAGTTCCAGAATGCAATGGAGTCATTATGGGGTTATCCTAGCCGGTTTAATCAATCCCTATTTGCATGTGTAGAAGTTCTTGAAACAGTGGTAACTAGCTTTTCCAATAGCAAGATGGAAACATATGGGAAAAAGCCTTGATAATAAGGAAGTTGCCTACGAAGAAACGTGAAAAGGAAACTGAGACGAGGACTATTCAGCACCAAATAAAGCCAAATAACGGAACCACAGTCGACATCCTTCAGGAGGCTCCGTAATGTTTGACATAGACGCTAGGTAAGCTCATATAGAATGAGTTATCATACCTAGAAATTTAATCAAACAGTGATAATGGAAGTTCACACACGCTTGCCCCATAAGAGTACCTAATGCTGCGGGTACTCTATATCGATCACTACTAAGCCACCATAACATATTTT